TCACCCAAGGATTAATTTTGGTTCCTTACAAAACCTTATTGATTAGACAAGTAAACTTCTATCATTTGCCTTAAGCAAAACAAATCCCTAAATTTTTTATGGGAGTTTACCGTCCAAACTCTGTCCAGAAAGAGCAGAAGCTTCCCCTGGTGGTGTATTTTCATGGGGGAGCCTTTTGCATAGCGACTGTGGCCGAGCCTAAGTACCACACCAGCCTCTAGTGGCAGAGGCTAATGTTGTGGTTCTTTCTGTGGATTATCGGCTAGCCCCTGAACACCCTCTTCCAACGGCGTATGAGGACTCTAGGGCTTCACTTCAGTGGGTGGCTTCCCATATCGTGGGAGATAGCGATGGCCAGGAGGATTGGCTCAAAGATTATGTGGATTTTGAGCAGGTGTTTCTGGCTGGTGACAGTGCTGGTGCTAATATTGCACACCACTTGGCTTTGAAGATCAAGGATTCGGATCTGGACCTGAAGATTCTTGGTATTGGTATGATCCATCCTTACTTTTGAGGGACAAATCCCATTGGATCCGAGATTACTGATTCATTCAGGAAGGGATTGGTGGATAACTGGTGGTTGTTTGTATGTCCTTCCGACGAAGGGTGCGATGACCTGCTCATCAACCCGTATGTGGATGGAGCACCTGATCTTGCCGGCTTGGCATGTGACACGGTGCTTGGCGGAAAAGGATATATTGAAGGACAGAGGGAAGCTTTGCCATGAGAAATTGGCGGGGAGCAACTGGCCGGGAACGGTGGAGCTGATGGAGATAGAAGGGGAGGATCATGTCTTCCATACCTTTGAGCCCAGTTCTGTCAAGGCAAAAAATATAGGTTAGCTTCTTTCTTCAATCAAGGAGAGACTCCTGTTCTGTGAAGGTGTGGCTGCTTAATTATTTGGTCCCTGTTAATTATTTGGGCCTTTTCACAAACTTAGCCCGCATAAGAGGGCTTGTAACCCTTGTTACCCTTTTGGGCCTTCCCCAAGTTAATATTTTTTTCTTGAGCTTATGAATAAGTTCATAAAGCCCCCATTATTTAATAATGAATAGAACTAGAATTTTCAGACCAGATTGACAATTTTTCTTCGTCAATCCAAATTGAAAGTTCCTTTCTCTTTGAGTAACATATGATTGGTTCTTGTGATAAGTATATTTTTATCATTAGTTAATGTAGTAAATTAAGTTATTTAATTTGAGAAGTTCTTGTGGTCTAAAATAGTTACTTATATTTTGTAAAGGGCAATTTAAAACAATCTCACCTTAATAGAGGTGGGGTTTTAATCTTATTTTTGTATTTTAAAAAATTATTTAATTTTAAAATGATCTAATACTTATCATGAGATTAATCAAGTGAAAATCTAAATATTTATATTATTATAAAAATCAGTGACGGAGCCAAGGGTGCGAGGGGGGCGCTCACCCCTGAAAATTGAAAATCTTGCAAATTAGTATATAATTAGTATATGAAAAATTATCTAACCCCCCTAAACTTTAAAAATTTTAGCATCTTGTCCCCTGAAGAAAATTTTTGCCTCCGCCCCTGATAAAAATCATCCAACACATGAATTAATAACAAATTACGTAGAGTGGTGAAAAAAGAGTGTAGTTAGTATTGCCTTTTTCGTTTTTTCTTTCCTTGAAAACATTAGAATTTGGAAGAGCTCAACATCCAAAACACAACCTTGTTCAGCACTAAGTTGCTCGAAAGATTTGGCAATGATCCATGAATTGGAAATCTTTGCTGACAACGATCAACTGAATAAATGAATAAATGCATATCGAGTAGTAGCTACAAGCAACCATGTAATACAGGATGCGCCCGAAAGTCCCTTCAATATTTATTGCCTCATTTTGTTTTCTTTCAACC